TCATTCTGTCTGAGCCTGGCAGGAGCTACCTGCGTTAACGAAGGGGGGTGATAATATGGATTGTTCATCTTGCAGAGGGGCTCGCCCTGGGCTTTGGCCCACCGCTGCAGCGCACCTGAAAGATTGTGCCGCATACCGCATCTACGCCGGCACGGACAGAATCCCTGTGTTCTGGAAGACCGTTCGGCGGGGGACAAGGTTTCGAATCCGTCCAGCACGCTGTGAAACCTGTTTACACCAGCGACTGTGCTGAGTCAGGCTTAGTGGGAGATTTCGTGTGCTACGAGCATTGCCGGTGCATGAATCTGGCGCGAATCTTTGAAGATATGCCTGTGTGGTGTGGATTGTGCAGTCTTGTAAATGTAGTTTCGTATAGCCATGCTGTGTAGTCAGTCCAGCGTTTACGGACAGGAAGTGCGTGCGTGTCTTATCATCACACAGTACCGTTGGCAATGTAAATAGGTAAGGCGTCCCTTTTAGGAGCACGAACACTGTTGCATTCATCAGCTGCTCGGCATGCCTTACGACAGCGCAGGTATGCACATGTTCACACCATCATTGCATATGCCTCGCCGTTCGGTGCGTGGATTAGTTAGGCTGTACGCCATTTGTGTAGCACCGTTATGAGGCTTTGGAAGCTGAGGACAAAAGCTATTTTTTAACAGCTGTATGCTAGAGAGAGCAGCCTTGAGCAGCTGGTGATTTACAACAGTTACACGCTATGATCCGAAAGCGTTGATCTTTCTAGCATTTCTCCTGTTAGAGTTTTCGGGTAGACTTATTTGTGACATGTATGGCTGCAGACTGGCTGAAGTTTCGGTAAGCGACAGTTCACTTTCCTCGGAAGAAGCTCAATATACACATAATGGGGAAAACGGACCTCTTCCGGTCTAGCATCTTGCGGCCACGGGCTATCTTGGCGCAGCGCGATAGCGTGGCTCTGCCAGTATGCGGTGCATTCAGCGGGCTTGCCGACAATATGCGTATTAGTGACCAGAATGGTAACCGCACACACTTAAGAATGCTACAACATGGCATGCGCATGTTTAACTGATTGTTAAACTATGCTTTTACCATATGAGTACCAATACTAATGTTTCAAAGAACACAATAGGTGCTGCAACCAACATGTTTTCCACCAGTTTCGAGAACGCTCTTAACGCTAAGGGTAGGGCATTGGTTTCACCAATTTTGTGTAACTTCATTATGCCGTCTCAGAAATATATTATGCTGCTGCCCAGGAAAACGTCCCGCTAGTAGCTTTCTGTCCACCGAACAAGTGGCCCGGTTCGTGCATGCTAATGGATTCAGATGCTGGTGACGTCATATCGATGAGACAATGTTTACACAATGTTGGGAAATGGGATGATGCTTGAACATAAATTAAGATGGGTCCAGGCGGTCCTTTTCATCAGCACCAGCATCGTTTGTTTTGTTTATTACAACAACAGCCCCGTGCCATACCAAGAGTTCATGCGGTAGTGGAGCTGTATGGACAACCATATTTGCATGCATTTCCAGTTGAGTCTGGCGGGGGCAGCTGTTGCCTTGCGTCTTTAAAGCGTTTGCCAATTGGAAAAATGTCGCTGTCTTCCGACGTCGCTCGTTTGGAAAGCGAACTGATTGATCATTGTCATCGGCGGTGTGAAGAAGGCTGCGGGCTACTTGACCACAGATCTGACCAATCACTATTTTCTTGTGATGGTGTTAGTATTGTAGATGATGGTTGTGCTCATATGGAACGTGACATTGACAAGAGGTTTGTATGCGAAATACATCAACGGTGGCAAACTTTATTCAGAATTGTGTTGTGAAATCAGTGCTGGGGAAGCTTCGGAACAAGATGTATCAGGTCCGTTTTTCAGGGACATCTTCTGAACTTTTCAGCCCCTGACGATGTGATGTCCGTGAAGTTAGTGATTTGTTCGGCGATTTATTCAGCGCGGTTCTGCTTCTCTGAACAAAGGTCTGGAGGTCAATTATGGCACCAGAACATCGAAGGTGACCTTTATATTGCAATACCATCCAACCTTCGAGGTCAAGGGCCGAATCAAAAGAAGGGGAACTCGATGCCACCCAAAAATTACCGGCTGATTTGAAAACTGCAAGCATCAAAATATTCACAAGCGTAAGAGCTAGCGCCTGTCAAAACGTCCTGATCTCCCTAGGTCACCATTCAAGGTCAAATTCGGGTCAAAGGACGGGGAATCCCATATCATCAAAAAGTTCCCGGCCAGTTTTAAACTTGCAAGCACCAGAATACTCACCAAAGAAAGAACCAGCGTCCATCAAATTAGTCCCCGTCCTTTGGGCCCGCGTTCGACTTCGAAGGGCGACCTTGAGAGCTAAAAACTTGTTGACGGTTGCTAGTCCTCTCTGTGGCGAATATTCTGGTTCCGGCAAGCTTAACATCGGCCGGTAATTTTTGGGAGTTATGAAGTTCCCCGTCCTTTGAGCCTGAATTGATCTTAAAGGATGACCTTGAAAGGTCAGGACTTTCGGCGAACGCTAGTTTTTCTGTGGTGAATATTCTGATCCTTGTGAGTTTAA